GGGCCCCCGCCCCCCGCCAGCCGCAGGGAGAGCTGCTCTGCAAGGGGGTGCGGGGATGGGGGGGTCACGGCATGGCCCGGCCAGGCACCCCACTGGTCCCCGGTCCCCGATCCCGGGGCGCACGGCACTGACCTGAGCAGACGGCGGCAGCCACCCCGCCATCGCGCTGGCAGCCGTGCCGTGCCGAGGCCGGGCAGTCCCAGAGAGACGCCTCGGTCCCGGCGCAGCCACCGGTACCCGGCCACAGCGGTCCCGTGCCAGGACCGAAGCGAGCCGAGCCGGCTGCCGGCAGCGCCGTTCCGCAGCCCAGCTGGCGGCAGATGACGGCGGCATCCGACATGCCCCAGGTTTCCCGGCAGACGCTGTGCCATGTGCCATTGACGTAGACCTCCACTCGCCCGGCACAGCGACTGGGGCCATCCGCCAACCTCACCCGCCGGCTGCCTGCGGGGCACGGAGGGGACCGGGCTGGGGCGGCCGATCGGTGTGCCGGCACCCCCCCAGCCCTTCCCGGGATACTCACCCGAGCAGACGACGGCCACCTCCTCGGGGCTGCCGGTCGGCACGGCGGCCGTCCCCGAGACGTTGCACTGGGCCAGGTTCTCCTCGATGCCAGCACACCGCAGCCCCCGCAGCCCCGTGGTGCCCGAGCCTGGCACGCCGTAGACCTTCTCTGGCACGCCACAGCCCAGCTGCCGGCACACCACGCCGGCACCCTGGGCATCCCACAGCCCCGTCGGCACGCGGGCCCAGACCCCGGGGCTTGCCGCGACCTCCAGCCGCCCGTCGCACCGGCTCTCGCCCTCCACCAGCCGCAGGGGCTCGGCAATACCTGCAAAATCCCCGGCGGTGCCATGTGGCCGCGGCACCAGCAGCATAGGGCTCCCGAGGGGATGGCAGGGCCCCGGCTCAGCCCTCCCCTCGCCCCGAGATGGCCCCGCATCCTCCGCTCCCTATTTTTGGGGTGTCCCAAAAGTCCCTCAAGGCTTTTCCCGGCGGGTGCCATACAGACCTGAGCAGTTGGCGGCGGCGGCGTGGCCGGGGGGGCAGGCGGGCTCCCCCAGCACCACCACGGGGCACTCGCCTGGGTGCCGCTCGCTCCCGTCGCAGCCGAAGGTATCCCGCCGCAGCGGCCCGTCCCCCCCGCCGAAGAAGCCTCCCGGGGGCACGGCGGCGGCGGCACCGCAGCCGAGGTGGTGGCAGAGGACGTGGGCGTCGGGCAGGTCCCAGCCGGTGGCACAGAGGGACCCCCATGTCCCCCCCGCCTCCACCTCCACCCGCCCGGCACAGCTCGAGTTGTTGCCCACCAGCCGAAAACCTGTGTAGGCTGCGGCAGAAAGGGTGTTGGGGCGGGGGGGGGGCCCCACACAACAGTGCGGGGGACCCCCCCCCGGCACCCCCAGCACTTACAGGAGCAGATGATGCTGGCATGGCCGGTGCAGCCCTGGCCGCGGGCTGGCCGACGGGCACAGGTGGCGAGGAGGGGCTCGGTGCCGATGCAATTAAACCCCTCGTCCCAGAGCGGCCCCTTTCCCGCCTCAAACCGTCCGGAGCCGGGGACGGCCAGCACCGCGCCGCAGCCCAGCTCCCGGCAGACCACCCGGGCGGCCTTGATGTCCACGCTGTCCTCGCAGACGCTGGTCCAGGCTCGGCCCCGCTGCACCTCCAGCTGCCCAGCGCAGGAGCTGTCACCACCGACCAGCCGGGCAAACCCTGCCGGGAGAAACACGGGGGTCGGTGGTGAGGGATGTGCCAGGACCGGTGCGTGTGTGTGTCCCCCCCGCCGCCAGCCGGCTCCTACCTTGGCAGACGACGGCGGTGTCGAAGTCATGAACGCCAACGTAGGGTCCCCAGCCACGGACCTCGCAGTTCCAGAGGGCGGCCTCGTCCCCATGGCAGTCGATCACGGCCAGGCTGATGGGGCCGTCCGCTTTGCCGAAGCGGCTGCTGGCGGCGAAGGCGCCGGTGGCTGAGCCGCAGCCCAGCTGTTGGCACACCACCTCGGCGTCCTCCATGTCCCAGTTGTCATCCGCCACCGAGCCCCAGCGGCCCTGCAGCTTCACCTCCACCCTCCCGGCGCAGGGACCCCCGCCGGCCGCCAGCCTCAGCTCCACCGCGTCTGCACCGGAGCACCGGCATGGCCTCAGCCCTGCCCGGGGATGTCCCGGCACACGGCGGGTGTCCCGGCGCAGCCACCCCCACCCTCACCTGTGCAGGTCACCCCCACGTCCCAATTGTGGCCACAGAAGTGCTGTCCCCAGCCGAAGTGGGGACAGTCCTGCAACATCGTCTCGCCACCCCCACAGAAGAAGGGCTGCAGCCAGATCCGGCCGGTGCCCTGCCCGAACGGAGCGTAGACGGACGCCTTGGCCACCCGGCCACAGCCCAGCTGCCGGCACACCACGGTGGCCCAAACGGCTTCCCAGTCGAAGTCGTAGATGCAGACGGAGCCCCACTCGCCATTGTGCTTCACCTCCACCCGACCGGCGCAGCGCCCGCCGCCGTCCACCAGCCGCAGATCCCCGGTGCCTGCGGCAAAGAGGGTGCTGAGCCCGGCTCGGGACTCGGGGGGGTCCCTGCCCCACGGCTGCCCTTTGCCCCGGCGCTCACCCCCGCAGAGCTGCACACACAGGAGCAGCCCCAGCACCCCGATGGGCACCATCCTGCCGTCCCGGACCCCCCCCACCCCGGTGCGGGGTGGGTGATATATAAGGCAGCGCCGCAGCCGGGAGCCAATGGAGACGGCAGCACCTTTTGAGCCGTTATCAGGCGGGTTATCTCCCGGCTGACGGGGGCCTGGCCTCCAATAACCTGCTCCGTGCCCAAATATGAGGCTCGGCTCCGCTTCTGGCGTCACACACCTCGCCACGGTGGGTCGGCACCCGGATGTCCCTGGGGGGGAGCCAGCCCCCTCTCAGGGCACCTCCGGCCAGCATGGGGCGCGTGGACCCTTCCCATCCGTGTCGCCCCGTGGGGCCGACCCTGCCGCCCAAGCTTGGCAAGAGCCCAGTCCTGATGGCGACAGGATTCACGCCAAAACCTACCAAAGCCTCTACAGGGCCGCCCTCAGCACCAGCGCGGTGCAAAGCCCGAAGACCCCGGCACGTCAGCACCCATCCTCAGGGTGCTCCGCTCTCCGGGGTACCTGGAGACCCCGGGGGGGGAGGCCACCGAGGTGACAGCAACCCCCAGTCTCACCGCGGTGTTTGCAGTTGGCACATCCCCGGCCCCTCGCGGAGGCCGGCAGCACATGGCGGTGCTGCCTGCAGGTGTGCCCCCACGCTTGCCTCGCAGCGCGGGCAGGAAAGAGACCGTTTTCCCCCCCAGGCGGGGATGCGGCGTCGGCATCGACCGCACGCGGCTCCCCGGCCACCTGCAGCGTTACCGATAACGCCGTGCTTCTGCACACCGGCATCTGCCCACGGTGACGCTGCTTGGGGGGGGGCATGGAACCAAACCGGTGGTGGGGGGGGGGGTGACAACCGCCTGGTTAAGCCAGGACCGAGCACCAGCAAAGACCAATGGGCACAGGAGGTGGAAGGGAAGAGATCCCTCGAGGTCCCGGTTGCGTGTGAGGATGAGGACGGGGCTGAGCCACCCATGGCCGCGGGACCTGGCAGGCTCCGTCGGTGCCGATGACCATGGCCTGGCCGGAGAGACACAGAGGAGAAGGCAGCGATGCGGCAAGCGGGTTCACCTTGAACGGCTGCAGCTGCGCGAGCCCAGGCAAAACCGCTGAAAGCGTGATAACAGCCCCAAATCGTGATGGCGGTGGAAGGGCCCAGCGACCTGCGGGAGGGCGGCGCGGCAGCAGCCAGGAAACGCAGGTGGCCGAGGGGCCGCAGGCACGTGGTGACGGCCGTTGGTGGGAACCGCCATCTCCCCGTGGGGGCACACCTGCAGGCAGCGCGGGCGGCCCCGCCACATGCCACCGGCCTCCGTGCAGGACCGGGGACCCTCCACCTGCAAACGTCCCCCCGTTTTGCCCCGGGACGGCGCGTGGGGCTGACCCCCGATGCCGGCGACATCCGGGATAGCGTAGCGTGGACCCGCCACGGCTGCCTGACCCTCGTGGCCCTCCCTGGGGAGCTGTTGGGGATGCAAACCCCGCCAGGACTGGCAAGAAGGGGGGGACGACACAGCTTCGGTGCCCCCCTGGAGCGGGAGGTGACCTTCACCGGTGACCTTCACCCACCAGACCCCGCGGCCCTTCCAGGGACGTGGTCGAGCCTCAGG